AGACTGCTGGTTCCAGCTTTCTCTTGGAACTCCGGGCAAGGATCTGCCAACCATCCCCAAGCCTCAGGATGGTTCTGTTGAGGATACACCCCGGGCAATTACCCCCAACGGCCAAAAACGGGGTCCAATACATTCCTTGCAAGCAACAGCCACGTACTGGCCACAGCCCGCCCCCTTGTCGCTCGCGAGTCGCGGTTCTGAGTTTGCAGGCTGGCCCCGCATCGGCACCAGCACCGGCAGTCACGGAGGCGGGTATTCATGCGGCGCTACGGCATGAGGCTGAGAGCTGCTACAGCTGCACACGCCAGGTGAAACACAAAACCTGTCTTTTGGTGACAGCTGGGTGTGTCTTTTTGGAGATCCCCCAAGATGGTGGTTTTCCTCTTGGTTCCTCGTTAAACCAACACATCCAGGTGAAATCACACGAGGCAGTGCGTCAGTGCAGAGATCTGAATATCCGTGAACCCATCACTAGACAAGTCTGGAGCGATTTTTTGTCTGGGAAAAGGACTGCTTAGGTAAAACGCGAGCATGTTCAGCTCACCCACGAAGAAAATCATCACGGACATGTGGCTGTGGTTGTCAACACCGTTTTGGGATCTCATTTTGGGGAAGGTGAATTCACCACCCATTTTGTTAGTGTGAAGTGGGATGTTCACTGGGGGTACGGAATTTTGGATTTTGACCCATGGCCACATGTGAGTTGCTTCAGGTTTGTTGCATAGTTCGTTTTGTGGACTGCGGACTTGGGTTTGCTGGGAGCTTATGGTTGTCGTTGGGAAGCATTTTACATTTTTGCTTATTGTGGTTTAGTGGGAACTCCCCACTTAGCTGCTAAAATTTAAATTTTTGCTCCCCAAACCCAACGTCAACCAAGAGCTTGTCAGGCAGCCCCACCAGCCTCCTCGGTGACACCCACTCCAAAGGCGGGATGGGCAGGCGACGGGTCGGGCAAACACCACAGCGCCTTATAGGCGCAGACGCTAGCGAAGCATATCGTGTTGGCCTTGAGAATGCTTCAATTCCCTTTCAGGGCATGAATTCATGAGATGGACGCTTTGGGGCATCTGTGAATCGTGTGCCACAATCCTGTGCTGACAATACAATGCAGCACGTTCCTTTTGTGCATTTGTACAAAAGGCGTCTTTTTTTTTTAAACGAAGCATAGAACTGGTGGGCCCAGGCATGTTTCAAACTGGCTTGGTTGTCAGGCATTGAACCTGGCTCAGCCGTCAGGCAGCCGAGGGCGACTTGTTCGACTGAGCATTTGACTCGCCATCGAGGAGATAGGGCAGACGGTGGGAAGACATCGGGTGACCCATGTTTTTCTCATGCTAAGCAAATCCTTCCTCCTGAAGTCCTACTTACCGCAAAGTATTGGTTGTGGTTGTCAAAATTAAACCCCCAGGAATTGGACAGGTTGCAGTCCATGTTTCCATTTACCAGGGCAACCCATTTTGGGTGCATATTTGTGACCCACAACCAAATGTTCACTCTGATTTACACAGCCTCTCCTCCACATGGCGGCATCGTCGTGCAAACCCAATTTTTACCGAGTCTGCTGGCCCACCCCCTAATTAAGTCGGCCCTCTTCTTCCTGTTTGGCCAGTCGTTTCCTGTTTGGCGGAGTTTGACCAGCGCGCAGGAAACTGAGTGTTGGCCAATAATACGACTGCAATGGGAAAGAGACATGAAGTTCTATTTTAGAAAGGGCCATTATGGCTTACGCAAACATTGGAATCGAAACCGTTGAGGTAGGATGCGTTTGCCACTGCCAGGACGAAGCCAGCAACACAAACACATTTCATAGCGGGCATGAATCCACACATTCCGCTAGTTGCCATCTAGCAATTTCAAGTGGCCTTGCAATAGGGTGATGCCATCTCAGATGTTTTTGGTTTCATGATAGGCGTGAGAGGCACCCCTCACGTCAGGCTTGTGATGTTTGTCTACTTCACCTGCAGCTTCATCTTGACTGACGTTGAACGGCATGTTGAATGTTTGTTTTCCAAGATGTCGGTTGGGAAATTGCCGAGCCCAACACACATTCGTTGCACATATCGCGTTCGTCTTCAGCATGTAGCCGCATCACCGCAGGATTTGATGCCAATGATTAGGATGCGGGCACGATGGCCCTTGATCCAACGGCGCCGAACTTTAACATTCACTGGACACTGTGTGATCCCGGAAGAGATGTTGACCATGAAAGCGCAAGGCCTTGGAGGTATTTGTTCATCCTTCCTTCCACGACGCTCAAGAGAAGAATTCCCAAAAGTCGCAGATGCAACGCCAAAAATAAGAACAGACACGAAAAGCGGATGAAGGGTTCACACAGAGTCCTTGTTTGGGCGTCCGAAGGCCTCGAATATTTGTTAGTCCAAAGGATTCGATTTCGTAAGGATCCAAAAGCCATCCTCAGAGAGCACTCTGCGACGACTGCGGGGCAGGGAGAGCCTTACATGGTGCGAATCACAGGGACTGCGGGGAGGGGGAGCCTTGCATGTTGTGGGGGGGGAATGCATTCAGAGATGAAGGATTCGTTGGCAGCGGTTCTTATGACCAGAGGCAAGTCGCAAGACTCCGCGGACTGGCCGCTTGCCCCGATCGATTTTTTCAATCGCCGCTGCAAGCAGAAGGCGAAGGGCAAAAGCGCACTGCCTGAGCGCGATTTTGCAGGAGACCAGCTTTTTACCCGGCTGGATATGAGAAGGGACAAGCTTAGCAGTCAATGATATGATTGGTTGATTTAGCCACACTCTTTTAGTTGTAGCAGTTCGAACCACGACTGGACTGCAGCATAGTCGAGTTGAGTGAATGGCCATGCAGCTCCCAAGTTCTTGCCAGCCACATTTTGGGGGGTCAGGGCACAGCCCCAGATCGACCATGGACTTAGTCCCAGGCAAATCGTCTTGTGGAAAGCCTCCCACAGATGGACTCCTTTGGCTTGGGTCGAGGAGTTGTTCGGTACGGTGCAGGTTCCAATTCGAAGGGACCTATCAGAGTCCATCTGAGAAAGGTGGGAGGGGTTGTTCCGACAGTCATGTTACTTGGCCATGGGTCACAACCCAAATCCTACCCCCAGTGAACATCCGATTCAATCCCCACTGAAATAGGTTCTGAAATGGGTGGTGCACCCACCCCAAAATGGTACCATTGGTTTTGAACCACAGCCACTTGGTCGTGTCGAGTGAGCGGCTACGCGGCTACGCGGCTACATGGCAGGCATTGGCTCGGCTTATAGCTTGCTCAGCTGGATGTCTACCGGCTATGGCGCTGACTCAATGGCTTGCGCTGCTGTCGATCTGCCGTGGCTACAAAATTGGCATCGCCACTTGGTTGCTTTCCCCCAGCACTAGAGTAACAGGTGTCATGCTGTTTTCTTGCGTACTGCTCGACACAATCAAGCTTGCACACTTCAGACCTTGAACCCTGTTGGCACTCATTGGTCAGACGTGTTTATTATATTTCCTGACTTTGGAAGCTTTCTGAATGCTAGTATTTCGCAGACATTTGCATTTCAGCAGCCTGCACCCATCGCGAGTTTCCTCCCGGCACGCTGCAAAAGCGCACGTCACGACCCATTGAGCAGTGATGTCGAGTCGGGCTACAGCTTCTTGCTGAGGCATTTTCCACGGTCACCCAGCTCAGCAACGCAAAACACGTGTCCAGCTGGCAAAAGATATTCAACACATCCCAGTCATTGTGTGCAACAACTGCCGGCTGTGTAACAATTGTTACATGCTGCGCCCGCTGTAAATTGAACGATGCAAGACCCGCTGAGTGTTTTTTTTCCACTCATTTGCACTGCCCCCTCCTCCGCATCCCTGCACATGTGGTGACAGAGGCAACACGAGAGCATCCTTCTTGCACATCCCAGGTAACGATGCACGACGAAGCCGTTATGTCCTACGCAAACATGACGTCTTTAGCAAATCAAAGGCCGATGATGGAGCACCGTTTGTCGATGGCGTTTCTTTGGTGCATTTTGCTTGGATGTTGGGACTTTAGCTTTTTGCCAACTAATGGATTTTCCATCAAACCACGAAAAGTTGAACTTTTCGCAGGTGAGCAGAAAGCAACCGAGTTTTTGTTTGCTTTCGTCTGCTAGTTCGCGTTTCCACTTGTATCATCGAGCGAGATTGTTGGGAAGACCAGCATGGCGTGTGAGTCAAGATTTGGGCTCTTTGAGGATATTCCAGCTTGGTGTCGTCTCCAAGGAAAAGCACAGGGACATGAACCTACTACGGGAAGCTTCCCCATTTCAGGGATCCTGCTTTCAGGAAACCATGAAACACCCAGCGGAAACAACAGGCTGTCTTTAGCGAACAATGTCAGTTGTTCAAAGACAACCTTTTGACTTTTGGTTTTCCCTTTTTGGTATACTTTTAGTAGAGGGTCCCCAAAGGTTAACCTTTTATTTCCAGGTCCTTTGGGCAAGTGGGATGGGGAATCAACCCCTAGAAACCCGTTCAGTGTCCCGGATTTGTTTCCCAGGGTCGGGGAGCCGCTTGTGTTTGGAGCTGGAGATTGGCATATTGGGCAAACCCGAGTCGCATGGGGCGTTTCTTGTTTGCTCGGTCCCCTTTGTGGTTGGCTGCAAAGGGAAACTTAAAGGAAAGCCGTTGCGCCGTTTTAGGGTCCAACCTTGAACAAGGCGAGCCTCCCAAGTAGATTATTATATATGTATATATGCTGCACAAAGCATGCACTTGGATATGTGCCAACTAGGGACCCTTTCAAATGGCTATTTGAAACTGTGAGCCCATTTTGATGTGGACTGGTAACCTTGCTTGCATTCAGCCGTAGGGGGGCCGCCTCCCTCATTTCCAATACGTTGCACCAGCCAAATACCGTTTTGGATCAAGTGCGATAACATAATTGCAACACTCATGGTACTGCAAGGGAGTCTAGATGTCTCAGGGATCAGCGCAACAAAATCTTCTTTTCGGGTTTGTTCATGGCTAGGCACTGACACATGCATGTGCCCCCCGCGTTCATTGCCAGGTACGCTGATCGACATGGATACGGCTTTCACGCCTTGAACCACACCATTGACACACTGCGGGTTCCACATTGGACGAAGATCTATGCCATGCTGTTCCTTGCCATTGCAGCTGAATGTGACGACTTTGTATGTGCTTCTTTTGGGTGCAGTTGCATGTTTCTCTCATGTCGTGGCCTGTGTCACGCATGCTTTGCTACAGGCAGTGGATAGGTGAGTCAGTTTTCAGCTTAGGTCCAACAATGGCTAGGGTCATGGCGAGTGCTATGTGACCCCTTCCAAACCCATTCGGAGGTTTTCCATTGGAATCCCTTGGCGGACCCTTGTGCCCTGAATTTACTTTTGCCAGGGTTGCATTTCAATTTTCATTTCGAAGGGAACGTACGGTTAACGGCACTCTCTTTCCTTTGCCCCTGCAGCTTCTCAGGATCCATATGGCGGACTATGACTTCGTCTTCTGGATCGATGCCGATGCCATGTTCTATGAACAGAGCTTGCGTCTGGAAGAGGTGCTTCAAGTCGACGAACACCCCGAGGCAACGGAGCGTTCACCGCAAAGGGCGGTGAGGTTTAGCGGTTTGCCTGACTTGAAACAAATGGAGGGTGGGAGGAGCCTTTTTTTGTAGCCGGCAATTTTGACGCTTCAACTTCTACTTCAATAGGTCATTCCGAGAAAGGGGGCTCACCTGACTTGAAACAAATGGAGGGTGGGAGCTTTTTTTTGTAGCCGGCAATTTTGACGCATCAATTTCTACTTCAATAGGTCATTCCGAGAAAGGGGGCTCACCTGACTTGAAACAAATGCAGTGTGGGAGCCTTTTTTTGTAGCCGGCAATTTTGACGCATCAATTTCTACTTCAATAGGTCATTCCGAGAAAGGGGGCTTACCTGACTTGAAACAAATGGAGGGTGGGAGTTTTTTTTTGTAGCCGGCAATTTTGACGCATCAATTTCTACTTCAATAGGTCATTCCGAGAAAGGGGGCTCACCTGACTTGAAGCAAATGGAGGGTGGGAGCTTTTTTTTGTAGCCGGCATTTTTGACGCTCCCGTTTCGAGGTCTTAGGTCATTCCCCCGAAAAAGGGCTGGCTCTAGATTGAGCTGGCCAGTTCCTGTGGCCAAGAACCTTTGGAATGGTTGGCTTCCATTTGCTTAAGAATATGTGCTTGGTCCCCCAGCGATTGGTGCCCTCTCTCACCCCTTTTTCGGTTGGGAGGGTTCCCCTAAAATAGACTACAGCAAAAAGTTGGCACCCTTATTCTAACCTCTCTACTGGAGGACCTAGATATGTGTTATTCTCCCTTTGTTGGTTTTCAAGGGAATCTATCACTACTGCACATGTTTTTTGTTTATGTCTCCCAGGGGGCTTGAGCAAAAGTTGGGTGGCATACTTGCACAGAGAGCAATAACGGACAGTGCATCACAGCAGCTCCTGGGGTTTCAACACACACGACTCCTGTTGACGAGTACGCAACTGCAGTTGATGAGATGCAAACCACATCAACCTGGACTCCTGAGAAACGTGAGGCACGGCACATAATTCAAGAAGGAAGATTCCGACTTGATTAGCTTGCGCTTCTGTGGAGAGAACTATGCGATTGCCGTCCACGCATTGCCTGAGACAACCTGTTTTGCATCATTTGTGTTGCGTTGGCATGGGAGAGGATGGACCGAATGTCAGCATGTTGGTAATATTGTGTGTTCCCAAGATAACCCGTGGATGTGTTTTGTTCCCCTAAGCATTCTGGGCCCTCAAAAAGGCCCTGGACATGAGGCCCAACACCTTCCAAAGGAGGTCCGTTGCCCCCTTCAATGGAGGGTCCCTTCTGATCCTTAGGGTCATAAGAGGGGCTTGCCAGAGGCGCAGATCTGGGCGCAAGATATTTGGCCAGACTATCCTTCGATTCATCGCAAAGAACTGATGGATGGAGCCACGGTGCCTCGCTGAGATCTGGCCGGATAGGTCACGACTTGAAGTTGCCCAGTGGTGCCCTTGTTTCCTTTTTTGGGGAAGGGTTCCCCTTTACAGTCAACCAACCAAAAAGGATGCCCTTTTTTCCCATGGTTTACTGGGCATCTGAAGGATCTGTTGGGCATTAAAGTGCAAGGTTTAAGTATCCAGTCATGCGTGGACCCAACGTGAGAACTGCTCCTTTCCCAGACATTTTCATAAGATAGAATGGTGGGTGGGCAAATGAAGCGGCAAATCTTGTGCTGCCAGTCAACGTGCTGGCCAGGTGCAACCTGATGTAGGTCACACAAGCATTGCTCAGCAAGCTCTTGTCAGTACTGTAGATCAATTCTGGGATGGCAGGAAGAAACAACAACTAAATGTATCTTCTGTGATAGGTCCATTAGGAACCCTGGTCAGTCTTGTCCCAGGTTCTGCTGCGCAACAGCCTGTGGACACGTCAGTTTTTGGTGGAGATGTATCACTACCCTCCCTGCTTGGACGTGTTGAATTTCACGGAGCAGTGGTGCCTTACTCTGGCTTATGAGGGCGACCTGATGGGGATGCGCTCCAAGACTGTGATCTTGCCCACTCCGCGCACCTTGGGACGAGTCATCGCGTAGTTTGATTTGCCAGGTTGGTGGACGCACAGAGCGAGAGAGAAAGAGAGAGAGAGAGAGACGCAGGTGCCTGCTTCCCCTCCAGTCTGTATGGCAGGGAGCATGACGAAGGTTTGAAGTACAAGCTCTTGCCATTCAGACACTTTCTGTGATGTTCCAATTTGCTCTCACAGGAGGCAATCAGTGGCCAACACATCCCACGCAAGGTTCGAAGGTCGCAATGGCAATTTCTATCGGACCAGCTGCCGAAAACGCCCTGCCTACTGAGTTACTGCATGTCAAAGCCATAGGTGTCCTTTTTGGTTGATTTGCTCAAAAAATAGAGGCCGATTCCTGGTTTAGATGGGGCTTATGCCCCACTTGCCAGGGGAATCCATCTATTTTTTCCAGAAGGCCACCTATGTTCAACGCCCTCCGACCAAACCCCCCCCCCCGCTCCGCTTGCCACAAGGGCCGGGTTGCAACAGCTTGAGGCATCAACCACCATCGGCTTCCAGGACGCTATGAGAACAGATCTCTTTTCATTCTACACCTGGCTGGGCGATCGACCAAGGCCGGGAGGTGGTTCGTTTTCAGGAAAAAGAGGGCGTCAAGTTGGGCTTGCTTGGATGTTCCACCAACGTCAGGGAAAGTAGCTTATAACCATGGTTATAAGGGGATGATCCCAGTTACCCAAGCCATAACCATGGCTATATCCTACTTGCTAAGTTGGCTGAACATCATCTTTATGGCTATTTGGTAACAAATATTTGAACTGTTGCCTCTTGGTTGAATTTGTTTGGATTTTCCATTGGACCCCAAAAAGGTCAAACATACAATATTGTTTGCAGAGGGGTCAACAGCTTCCCCAAGAATTGGGCTGGAACACACCAGTTGGGACAGGGACAACTGTCTTTTGTTGACAGCTGGGTGTGCCTTTCTTTTTTTAAGGGCACCCCCCTAAATGCAGATGGTGAGGTAACCACGCCATGGCGTAACTATGCTGAAACAAGGGGGCGGTTTTCCTCTACCATAAACAAGGGGTACTCTTTCTTGGCTTGATGCATGCCGGTTTCATCCCCCACCACATCCAAGTGATAGGCCATAGGCGTGAGAACTGCCTTCGGGGCCTCTCGGCAGCCTGGAAAAAAGTTGCTTTTCTTAGCTTGGCAGTGGGTCAAAAATAGGGACCCAAAATGGAACCTGGGCAAATAGAACCAGGACTAAAACCTGCAGTCCTCTGGTGGTTTCATTTTGACCCATAATTACCCACTTCCTGAGTTCATGGACTCTCAACTTTTTGGGCTTGGACCATTTTGGTGGTGAATCAAAAGTTCAGACCTTTTTTTGGCCAACCCGCTCAGGTCGTGAGGGAGAGGGAATGATGCGAGTTCGGCGGATTTCGGTTGCGGTTTCGTTTCTCTCCTGAACCAGCGCCTTTTGGGAAGAAAAGTGCTTATGACAACATTGTTTGATGACTGGGCAGTGTGATTGACCGTCAAACTGCAACATGAATTCAGTTCTACAGGTTCGGTAATGTTGATAGGTAGTGGCATTCCGACATGATATTGGCTCAAGAAAAATTGACTGCCGCCCGTGCTGACATTTAGGTAAATTCCACCTTTCAACAGGTTATCAGCCGTATCGCTGGTACCTTGTACAGTCAGCTCTCACCCGCGCCGCAATGGCGTCAAGCGGCGACGGATGCCACCCTGCCATAGCAAGGATGAACGAAGCAGTGGCCAACGAATTGATCAAGGGTGGGCATCCGGAAGGGAAACCGCCATGCAATCCGTCACAGCGCTCCCGAAGCAGTTTTCCTGAGTCCGACCAAGGCGCTGCGCTTGTGCCCATCACTTCGGTCGTCCTTCCGGAGGATTCAATGGGAAGCGGAGGGGAACCTCTCGCCGGACATCAACCTAGGCAAGAGATGCACGCGCGCATGACTAAGAATGAGACTCACCTTCATCAACATCATGTGAGCGCCCCGAACATATATCAACATAGCCAGACGGTAAATGCGGTCAACACAGGTCCGAGTACGGAGGAAGTGGCTGCCTATGCTTCGGCACGCCACGACGCCATCATCAATCAGCTCCAAGCAGGCCATGTTGAGGAAAAAGGCCGACTCTATCAGGACGCGGTGAACCACATCAATGTATGCCAACAAGAGGCAATGGCGAAGGAAGGAGAGTTCAACGAGGCAAGGCAGCAGTGGGTTGCTCAACGCTTAGAAGCTGAGAAGAAGTATGAACAGCTCAAATTGATTTGGGAAGTCACCCACAACAAGCAGAAGGAGGACGCGGACAGGAGCGCTGCTGAAATGAGGGAGATTATCATGAAGCAGTCGAGGGACATTGAGGCACTACGTCATGAACTGAAATCTCGCAGTGAGCAGAGTAGTTCTTCTAATGTTCCGATTTTCGGTCTGAGGCCAAAGGCCTCTCCTGTACAGACGTTTCCTCCTCCCGGCCTGGATCTTAGTTCTAAGGTACGTATCAGGTCAGCTTCTACCGAACTCCGCCGTGATGGGCCAGGTGCCGCCGATGATCTTGACGGGGATGCCGAGGAATACGAACCGACATCTCCGGCACAGGACCCAAACGATGGTGGTGGAAATCCATCAGGCGCAGGTAAAGGCCAGAGCGGAGGCGGTGGGGAACCACCTGCCGGCGATCCCGATGATGATGATGATCATGACGACGACGATGACGACGGGAATGACGATGGGAAGAAGAGCAAGAAGGACAAGAAGAAGAAGAAGGACAAAAAGAAGAAGAGCAAGAAGGACAAAAAGAAAAAGAAGAAGAGCCACAAGAAACGAAAGGGTGGGTCTCCTTCCGACTCTCCGAGCTCTTCATCGTCCAGCTCCTCAACATCATCATCCTCATCATCATCTTCGGAGAAAGCCCGAGCGATCCGCAAGAAGCTCAACAAGATCTTGGGTAAGCAGACGACCACTGTGGACGCAGACAATGACAAACCCAAGGTCAAGGAGGCGGAGAGGATCATCATTCCCTCCTTCCCACTTCCTGAGAGTTACAGGAATTGGCGCATCAAGGTGCGGGAAGCCGTATGTGCGGCATCCGATCGCCCCGATGACGCTTTCATGTGGATCAGCAGAGTGTGGGAGCCTGCCGTTACAATCGAGGAGCTCAAAGAACCAGGTACTTTCCTCACCTTGGACGCCAAGTTGCTGTCCGCCCTCACCAACATCATTCAGGGTGACCTGGCGAGACAAGTGGACACCTTCAAGGAGGTAGAGGCGCAGAAGAGGAATCCAGTTCGTGGGAGACAAGTGCTTCTCATGGTGCGCGAGCACCTGAGCACGAACATCAAGCACGGAGCCACCTATGCCATGGAGGATCTCCTCAACGTGAGGCTCGTGAACGATAACCTCACTTCCTTCATGCGTAGCTGGGAGGGTGTCCTTGCAGGGATGAATGCCAAGACACCGGATGACTCCATGCTTGAGGCTCTGTTCTACAACCAGCTGAAGAAAAGTAAGCAAATGCAACACCATTTGAATGTCTATTTGAGCGCCTCGGAAGAGTCCGCCGATCACTCATACACCTACTTGATTGAATCTGTGAGGCAATACCTGTCTCGAGCCAGACTCGAGCGCAACCGAGAACGGGTTGCTAGGCAGAACGGGGGTAGGCCAGCCGCACCCGCCGCTGAGAGCCAACGTGTGCCTAAGGGGTTTTGCATTGCATTTGTCAAGTATGGGTCGTGTCGGCGGGACAATTGCACGTACAAGCATGAACAGCCATCGGGCGATGCCAGGGGTAGGACCCCATCAAGGGACGCTAAGCCTAAGAAGGGTAAGGGTAAAGGCCGAACGAATAGCCCAAAGGGGAAGAAAGAGTGCCGTTTCTACCCCAAGGGGAGGTGTGACCGTGGTGAAAACTGCCCATTTGCTCACATCGACCCGAAGCCGGCCGTTCCAGGGTCAAGGGAGCCATCCGCAGACAAGCATAAGAAGCAGGGAAAGGATCGGAAGCATCGCAAATCGAGCAGGGATCGTTCCAAGTCGACCTCTCGATCCACTTCCCGTGATTCGAAGGGAGAAAAGAAGAAGGGTCACAAGGGAAAGTCTTCCGGAAAGCCTTCTCCTGCTGCTGTTTGTGTGTTGGGATGCTTGCTGTCTTCCATGATGAACGCCCCTATCGCTGAGGGGAACCTCATGTCGGACTGGAAGCATGTGCCTGCCCTCCCGAGCGTGCGTTTCAGCTCGAAGGTTGAAATGAATCGGATACCAGCACATGGTGAGCAGTTTAAGATCGCGGACAAACCGCGCGTGTATTCAAAGGTCTACCCAATCGACCATCAATTTTTCCATGATGAAATCAGCATAGATGATGCTAGGCTCGGAGCAACCATGCTCGCCTTCATTGTGAGACGTGAATTGGAAGGCCATCCGACTAGATGCAAACACGAATGTGACAGCGATATCGGATGCAACCACTGCGCCCCGAGAGACATGGGCGCAAAGCCCGCGCTGGCGAGCAAGAGATTCTCTCCGAACTGTTCATGGATTATCGACACTGGGAGTGGAACAGACCTTTTTACCCGTGCGAATTGCCCCGAATATGCAATTTATAACTCAAATGACCCCGTGATGTTGATGACTGCCAATGGACCAAGTGATTCGTCAAAGCAGGCCAACATGGCCGCAGGTGACCTTGGGAACACGGATCCATACTTGTTGCCACAAACGCCATCTGTTCTCTCTGTAGGTTTGAAGTGCATGAATCAGGGTTATGACTTCATATGGTACGCGAAGGACAAGCCATTCTTTGTCAAGCCTGATGGGACGAGAATATATCTCAAAGTTCGAGATTATGTCCCGTACTACGACGTGTGGGATGGCGACTCAGCTATGGCATGTCCCGCCAAAGGCACGCCGCCAAGCCGACCGGAAGGTCAGGTCGGCAGAAGCAGCGCATCGAGTGAATCGTCATACTCCTCCTCCGAGCAAGCTGAAGATGCAGCGGGAGAGGAGTACACGCCTAGCATTGCCCCTCTAGAGGACCCTGAGGTACATGCTAGAGTTGTCGCTGAACTTCTGGCGGATGACCCCATCGAACTAAGTCAAACCAAATGAACACGCTGAGCCGATAGAGAGTAAAGATTTGGCAGGGGAAGATGTTGTAGGCAATCCCGATAAGAAGAGCCCTAGATCACTTGCAGAAGTGCCCTAAGGCAGGAAGCAGCATCACGGAAGCACCTGATGACACACCAGCCAAAGAATCCATTCTGCGAAGTGTGCAAATGCGCCAAGATGACCAAGTCTCCCTCTCGCTCGCGGGGGGGATCCAGACAAGTTGATGCTCGAAAGTTTGCTGAGCACATCACAGCCGATTTCATAATCACTGCAGACGAACAGGAACTAGGCATAGACGATGAGTACTCTGCTCTTGTCATAAGTGACGTTGCCACCGGTTTCAAATATGCATACCCTTTTGCTAAAAGAAACACGGAAGCCACTGTGAAGGCGTTTCAGCATTTCACTTCCTCGTCAGACGAGGTTGGCACGTTTTATAGTGACAATGCCCCTGAGCTAATTGCTGC